CTGGGGCGCCCGAGCTGCGGGGGCCGAGGCCGGGAGAGCCCAGGGCCCGCGGCGAGAGGCCAGGAGGGGGCCGAGAGGCTGGAGTTCAGTCGGGCCAGCGCCTTCTAAGACGGACAACGCAGATTAGGTTCCGGCCCGCCCAAAGGAGTTACATAACACAGCCAACACATGTCGATGGTTGAATTAGAAAGGCGCTTGAAATTTACTGGGATCTAGGAATCCATCAATACCTACTTTCGACGACCGACGGGTATCCTCCCCCAGGATGCACAAGAGCATCCAACAAACATGAAGAACATTGGGGTACCCTCTGCGAACCGGCCTCGAACTTATACCTCAGTCCGACCATACCGTTTGGCGGCGCGCACAAGGGGGTAATTAGAGGGAGGGGGGAAGGCTTCGTAGAAGGAGGCTGCTTCTTAGACGGCGCCGGCCCTACCTCGGTAGACAAGGCCCGCGCCTCCTAAGAAGCAGGGATACTTGTAAGAAGCCTTCCCCCCTCCCCGTTACCCTTACCCCCCTTTGCGCGTGGCCGAGATGGGCCGAGAGGCAAGGATGCAAGGGTACCCTCGAGAACTTACCAAGGACCGACTGTTTCAAGCGAGATGGCGCTTGAAACGAAAGACGAAACGAAGCCCCAGGTTTAAAACGAACGTCCAAAACGAAACCCGTGCCTGACGACACGAGAAAAAGGCGCACGATAACGAAACGCGAAACGAAACAACAAGCCACGGAACGGACAACACAGCAATGGCCCACACGAAGCTGAACGGCGCTGTGGCAGGCCCTTGGAACCTCCTCATCCCTCTGACACGGCCTGGCTCGATAGCCAGACCTCAGGGAGAGGCCGGCGATCTGGGCTTGCTTAGGGGACCAAAAAGTGGCATACATATAAAAACTCGGAGGTCCGCGCGGATTTCTCGGATCGGCGCTGGACCCCCTCCCTGGCGCGCGGAGCGCGCCAGGGGCGGCGCCGGAGGCGCCGCCAGGGGGTCCCCAGCGCCGATCCGAGAAATCCGCGCGGACCTCCGAGTTTTCATGTTTATGCCACGTTTTGCTTCCCTATTGCTGAGGGCTCGCCCTCAGGGGGGCCAGCCCCCAACCGTCCCCGGGGAGCTCACTCCGTGGCGGTGGCCCAACCCGGGCCCCCGCGCCCCCCCCGAGACCCCCCGAGGCCCGCGCGGACTCCCTGGGCCGGCGCAGGGCGCCCTCTCCCTGCCGGGGCCAGGGGCCCCAGAGACCCCCGACGCCGTGATTCTTTCTCACGGCGTGGACGCCTGGACCCACTCGCTGAGGAGGAGGAGGAGGAGGAGGAGGAGGAGGAGGAGGGGAGGAGGAGGAGGAGGAGGAGGAGGAGGAGGAGGAGGAGGAGGAGGAGGAGGAGGAGGAGGAGGAGGAGGAGGAAGAGGAGGAGGATGGGTCCCGTTCTGAAGTCCGATTCGTCTCTTTTGAAGGCCCCGAGGGCCGGCAAGGGTCTCCAGAGGGCGAGAGGAGTGAGGGTCCTCCCGCCACGATGCTGGCATTGCCCGAGGCGGTCTGGGGGTGGGGCTGGGGGGGGAAGCGCCGCCCGTGGCGGCTGCGCACAGAAATGGCCCGGCGCGAGGGCGGCCTCTGGTGCCCGGCTTGCCGACCGCTGCATGCGATGCGACAGCAGCGGCCCGCGCGCGCGGTTTGGACCCTCCTCCCCGCGCCCCCCCCCCCCCCGGAAACCGCGTACGAGAGGACACTCGTGCGAACGGTCACTCTTACGTGCAGCCGCCGCTCCTGGGGATCCAAAGTGATTCCACCAGAGGGCCTGGCCGCGCATCGACCAGTACTGCACCCTTGCTCCGCCTCGTCGCTGCGCGCGGGGCCACGACCGCCAAAAAAGAATAACCGCTCCTGGACGGCCCACTTCGGGGATTCACTGACCCGGCTCAATGCAAACCTGGGTCAGCCAGGCCTTGTAGGATCCTGCAAGATCCTGCAGGACACTGCAGGATCCTGAGCGCAAGCCCGGGTCAGTGCAACCCTGGCCCTGCAAGATCCTGCAAAATTCGGCGCTCTGGCTGACCCCCGTCTGCATTGACCCGGCCTCTCCGCAAAGACCCCACCCTGGAAGTGTTGCCCCCCCCCCGGGGGAGAAAGAGGAGGCTTATAGGAGGGCGCGAGGGGGCACGGGGGGAAGGCTTCTTGGAGGTGGGCTGCCTCTCAGAGGGCGCCGGCCCTACGCCTGCAGGCAAGGCCCACGCCTTCCCTGAAGGAAGCGGGTCTTACGCTCATGTCGGGCCTGTCCCCCTACAGGGGGATTTTCGACGAAAAATTAAAAATACTTCAAAAATACCCCAAGAAGGTCAAAACATACTCAAAAAATAGTCCCCAGACTATTTTTGGAGTATTTTTCTAATTATTTCTATGGTAATCTCAATTTTTCATCGAAAATCCCCCTGTAGGGGGACAGGCCCTATGCCTGCAGGCAAGGCCCACGCCCTCTCTGCAGGAAGCGGGTCTTGCGCACGATAGGAGGAGGAGGAGGAGGAGGAGGAGGAGGAGGAGGAGGAGGAGGAGGAGGAGGCGGAGAGGAGGAGGAGGAGGAGGAGGAGGAGGAGGAGGAGGAGGAGGGGAAGGAGGAGGAGGAGGAGGAGGAGGAGGAGGAGGAGGAGGGGAGGTGGAGGAGGAGGAGGAGGAGGAGGAGGAGGAGGAGGAGGAGGAGGAGGGCGGCCTCGCGCGCGCGGGCCGCCCGCGCGGCACCGGGCGCGGAGGGCAGGGCGCCTACGTGCGGCCTCGCGCGGGTCGGCGCACACCGCGGCGCTCCCCGTGGGGCAGCCGGCGGTCCTCCCGCCGGGCCCAGATCCGCGCGAGATCGGCCCCTGGACTTACGTCGGGCCTGTCCCCCTGCAGGGGGATTTGGGACGAAAGATAAAAAATGAAAGATATACCCCAAACATGCTCAAAAATAATGCCCCAAATAATGCCAAATTAAAGATATACCCCAAATAGTGCCCCCAAACATGCTCAAAAATACCCCCCAAAAATAGTCCCCAGACCATTTCTCATGCTCAAAAGTACACCCCAAAACTCGTCCCCAGACCATTTATCTGGTACTTTTGAATGCTCCTGCTGCAGGGGGGACAGGCCCGTCGTAGCCCTGGACCTGGGCCCCTCCCAGGGCTCCCGTGTGCGCGCCGCCAGGTGGGTGCCTCTGCACCCTGGCCTCGCGGCCCATCCCAGGAGCCTGCTAGCCTTTCGCCGCGGGCCGTGGGCTTCGAGCTCACCTCGGGCAACAGAGGCCTCCTAGATTTTAGGTCGGGCCTGTCCCCCCTACAGGAGGATTTTGGGCGAACAAAATAAAAACGCTCAACATATGCCCCAGAATAATCAAACATAATTGTTTAAAAAACGTCCCCGGACTATTTTTGACAATTTTTGAATATTCCTCCTGTAGAGGGACAGGCCCGACTTAATCCTAGATGCGGTCGGAGTAGATCGGGTCGCGGGATCGCGACGCATCGCCGATACATCGGCGATGCATCGGCGACGCATCGCCGATGCACGGGCGATGCATCGTCGACGTGGGCGATGCGTCGGCGACGTTGACGTGAAGCGGATCGGGCTTCACATCGAGCCGCATCGGCGATGCAACTGCGATGCGGCGCGATCCTCCGACCCTATCTTCGGGTGGCCCAAAAAGGGTTCCAGCTGCAAGGGGGTGGTGCAATAGATTTGGGGCAATTGTTTTGAAAACGTACTGCGCCGGAGAATTGTATTGAATTGTGTTGCAACTCGTGTAATGCACGCGAGAATCCAGCAATCCATTTGCGCCCTGGAAGGTATTGCACGCCCCACATGTACCGTAACCCCGCAAAGCTCTTGCACCACAACTAGAACACCCCCCTTGTAGCTGGACCTCCTCTTGGGTCAATCCGACTATCTACTCCGACCCCATCTGGGAGACCTAGAGGCACCCGAGAGCCCTGCATCTGAGTATCGTTCAACTGATCCCCATTTCCAGCGTCGTGGCCTGGGCCCCACTGGCCGATTTACCCCCCTGGACAAGGGATATGGGCCGTTCCCTTCGGGTTTCGAGGGGTGTATCCCCAACTGGGGTGGTAATTTCGTGGGGGTCTCGAAGGGGATGGGGATGGGAGGAGGAGGAGGAGGAGGAGGAGGCGGAGGAGGAGGAGGAGGAGGAGGAGGAGGGGGAGGAGGAGGAGGAGGAGGAGGAGGGGGAGGAGGAGGAGGAGGAGGAGGAGGGAGGAGGAGGAGGAGGAGGAGGAGGAGGAGGAGCAGTACAGTTGAAAATGCTGCCGTAAGGAACCCTGCGTGAGGCACGAGGCCCCTTTTAGCCCAGAAGCTACGCTTCGATTTCCCAAAGGAAACCTCTGCGGAAAGCCAGAGACGAAGTGCACAACACTTCAGGAACACTGAGCCCATCCCCAACGGAAAGGGTTCCTTCTTCAGCGGCCCGACTGTACGGCCGGGCCTAGGACAGAAGAGCATCCTTCAGGAATATAAGACCCTACGCCGTCCAAACCGAATCACGAACACCCGCGGGTTCCCCCCCCCAGGATGCACAAGAGCATCCAACAAACACGAAGAACATCAGGGTACCCTCCCCGAACCAACCTCGATCTTATGCCTCGGCCCGACCGTATCAACGACCCGCCGCCGTGCGGAAGCCATCAGCCTTCGAGGAACCGCCAGGCCTCCGGACAGCAGCGAAACACACCACCGCGTGCCGACGGGCTCTCTCTCCACGGCGGCGCGCCGCTGGCGCTCGCTGCTCTCTCCCGAGCTGGCCCTCATTACCCCGACCGAGGGTGTGTGTGTGTGTGTGTGTGCGGCAGGTTCGTGCGGCGTCGGCGCGCGCAAAGGTTTTTGACACCGCGTCGATCGTTCAACCTTGAATGAATCGCGGACCCGATCGTTCAAGGTAGAATTCCGTCGGGCCCAATGGCGGTATCTTGTCCCTCGGTGCTTCCGCGTCGCAGAATTCAACATTGAACGCCTTCGCCGGCGTCGCCGGCGCGCCAACGCCGCGCGAACCTACCGTGCTCGTGCCGCTTTCTGCGCTTCCGGGCGAGACGCTCGAGCAGCCCGGGCGGGACGAGCGCGGTGAGCTTGACCGGCAGGAACGCCGCGCTCGGGCCCAGCTCCCGCGCCGCGCGGCGCAGGATCTCGGCCTTCCTGCGGGCGTTCTCCTCGTGGGCGCCCTCGTCCTCGGCACTCTGCTCTGGTGCTGGCCTCCCGAATCTGTTGCGCGCATCCTGCGCTGACCGTCGTGGCGCCCTCCGCCGCTCATGGGGGTACGCGGCCGCCCTGCGCTGCGACGACAAAGTCCCAACGCTCAGCGAGACTTCCTCTCAGGCCCTCGAGGCCGCGCAGGGGGCCGAAGGGGGGGGGTGGACTCAGACATGCGACGTCCTGATTTTTTCAGGACGGCGTCCCTGGAAGTCCCGATCCTTTCCCCCAAACCGGTTTTTCGTCCAGAGTCGTTTGTTGACGGTCCCGAGGCCCGGCGAGGGCCCCCCGGGGCCGAAAATAGCCAAAAACTTTCCGTCCAGAGTTTTTGTACGGCGCGATCGTGTCTGGGACCTGGAACCGAGGACACATCGCCGAGCTGGACGCCCGAAGTGGGCACGGAAAGAATGGGTACAATGCCCAACAACAAATGTTGTCCCAATCCAACAGCGGCCGCTGTTGGGCAGACGGCCTCCTGTCTCAAATGGACACAGGCCGCGGCGGCGCGGACAGCGAGTCCTGTTCAAAGGGAACAGGAACTCGGGCATTGTACCCATTTTTTCCGTAGGAGGAGGAGGAGGAGGAGGAGGAGGAGGAGGAGGAGGAGGAGGAGGAGGAGGCGGAGAAGGCGGAGGAGAGGAGGAGAAGGAGGAGGAGGAGGAGGAGGAGGAGGAGGAGGAGGAGGAGGAGGAGGAGGGGAGGAGGGGGAGGACGAGGAGGAGGAGGAGGAGGAGGAGGAGGAGGAGGAGGAGGGAGGAGAGGAGGAGGAGGAGGAGGAGGAGGAGCAGCGAGGAGGAAGCCCTGGACCCATGTCGTTCGTGCCGGGAGGCGCCCGCGCCGCGACCGGCCCCGCGCGGCGAGGGCGGCCTCTCGCCTTCGGTGGACCCCGGGGCGGCATCCAGAGAGGAGGAGCACGGCGCGAGGACCGCCCCGCGCACGGAGCGAGGAGGAAGCCCTGGACCCACCACTCTGGATCCTCTCGGAGGGGGGAGGAGGGAGGAGGAGGAGGAGGAGGAGGAGGAGGAGGAGGAGGAGGAGGAGAAGGAGGAGGAGGAGGAGGAGGAGGAGGAGGATCCCCAAAAAACACGGCTGCTAACAGAGGGTAAAACTTTAAACCACGACATATAACTTTACGGTTTTACCATTGGGCCACATCTTACCTTTGATCTTTGCCATTGGGCAGCATATTACCTTATCCGAGGAATGCACCACGACAGTGTCTAGCCAGTCTGGGCCCGCTTCCCAAAAATGCCTTAAAACAAGCCAAGGCCAATTTGCGTTGTTCACGCTGGAGGGGCGACGGTGCTGATGCATCTGGGCCAGTTGTCTGACAGGCTGGTCAGAAACTGCTGGCCCAGCTTTTCGGGAGGAGGTTTCTTCATCACATGCTCGACTGCAGGGGGCCTCCTTGATGGGTTTCTCGACCAGTTCCCCACGGGAAACCTTACGGGCCCCCCCGACCTCCCGGGCACGGGGCATATCCGAGAGGGCCAGGGAACGTTTTCGATCCGAGGGGCGATCAGAGCCCGGAGGCCCGAGAAGGCCGAGAACACGCCGGAGGGCTGCTTCTGAGCAGGGATGGACCTAGGCAATATTTTTGTTTGTGTCCACTTTGTTTTCGTTTTATCTCGCTCGCTCTTCAATCCGCCTTTCTGCTGCAAGCGGCCCACGCAATCGTGAAAGCACGGTTCAGTCGACCCCTGCTTCTGAGCAGCCTACCCCCAGAGATCCGACGACGCGAAGAAATCCAACGTCGCGGAAAGAGCCCCAGGCCCCATATTTCCGCTGCATCTTTCGAGCTTGAGTATCGTTTAACCGATCCCAATCCCCGGCGGCGTGGCCTGGGGCCCACTGGCCGATTTACCACCCTAGATGGGGATATAACCGCGTGCGGGCGATAATACAACATACCCCCCTTAAGGCCTTTTATTTTTATTACCCCCGTTCAACAGGATTTAATTGTGGAGACGGGCGCGGAGGCCGAACTTTATAATACACGGGGGGGAGTTGCGAATCGAAGTTGCTATCATCTCATGTCAGCATCAAAAACGCTGAGCATGGCCATGGTGGTCTCACCACATCAGCTTCCGCAGTCACGAGCGTGCGGCAGGGCTGTGGGATTCTCACCTGTCCAGTTTGCCCAAATGCTTGTATGGGGGAATGGTCCGAAGTCCAGCGCAAGAGAGGTTTCTTGGCCAGAACGGCCAAGGACCTCTCTTGCGCTGGCAAGTTGTAGGCACGAGCCTCGAGGTCTCTCGAGTCAGTCTTGTGCCGAGCGCCTGCTGGCAAATTGTACAGCCACGAGCCTCGAGGTCTCTCGAGTCAGCCTTGTGCCGGGCGCCTGCTGGCAAGTTGTATAGCAACGAGCATCGAGGTCTCTCGAGTCAGTCTTGTGCCGAGCGCCCAGGATCACCATCATCATCATCATCATCATCATCATCATCATCATCATCATCATCATCATCATCATCATCATCATCATCATCATCATCATCATCACCATCACCATCACCATCGTCATCGTCATCGTCATCGTCATCGTCATCGTCATCGTCATCGTCGTCATCATCATCATCATCATCGTCATCGTCGTCATCATCATCAGCATCAGCATCATCATCATCATCATCATCATCATCATCATCATGTTCATCATCATCATCATCATCATCATCAGCATCATCATCAGCATCAGCATCATCATCATCATCATCATCATCATCATCATCATCATCATCATCATCATCATCATCATCATCATCATCATCATCATCGTCATCAACATCAGCATAACTTACCTTCCCCGGGAAAATCCTTTGTTATCCCCACCAGACCCCCGAACTTTCTTCTCCCCCGGTGATTCTTTTCGCCCGTGGTCGGTTAGGCCGTTCCCTTCGGGCCTCGAGGGGTGCATCCCCAACTGGGGTGGTAATTTGGTGGGGTTCTCGAAGGGGGATGGGGATGGGAGGAGGAGGAGGAGGAGGAGGAGGCGGAGGAGGAGGAGGAGGAGGGAGGAGGAGGAGGAGGAGGAGGAGGAGGGGGAGGACGAGGAGGAGGAGGAGGAGGAGGAGGAGGAGGAGGACGAGAAAGAGGAGGACGAGGATGAGGATGGGGATGGGGATCGGTGAAACGATACCGAAAGCTGGATCGAACTGTGATGGCCCCGGGGAGTGAACTGGGCGAGACCGCCCGGCGGGAACAAACGGCAGCGCCTGGATCTCGAGGCCGCCCCCCCCCGTCGTGTGGAAGGCCAGCCTTATGTCGGGCCTGTCCCCCTACAGGGGGATTTTCGACGATTTTTTTTTTTTTTTTTTTTTGGGGGGGGGGGACTAGTCTGGGGACTATTGTTGAATATTTGTCTGACGCTAAACAACAGAAGCAAAAAAAAGAAAATAGTCTGGGGACTATTTGTTGAATATTTGTTTGACCTTTTTGGGGCATTTTTCGGTATTTCTTATTTCTCGTAATAAGACATACCAGAAAAATGTCCCCAAAAGGTCAACTGATATTCAAACAATAGTCCCCAAACTATCTTTTAAAAAATAATCCCCAGACTATTTTCAAAACATGTTTTTTGATTATTTTGGGGTGTTTTTTCTTCCGTCGAAAATCCCCCTGCAGGGGGACACGCCCGACTGAAGGCCCGCGGGGATCCACTCAGACTTGGCCACTCGGCCCCTCCCTGGGCCCTGCCGCGGCCACGGGGGACGCCCCAGAGGGCGACGTGGCCGCCCTCCCCTGAGAGGAGGAGGGAGGAGGCGGAGGCGGAGGGAGGAGGAGGAGGAGGAGGGAGGAGGGAGGAGGGAGGAGGAGGAGGCGGAGGAGGAGGGAGGAGGAGGAGGGAGGGAGGAGGAGGAGGAGGAGGGAGGAGGAGGAGGAGGAGGAGGGAGGAGGGAGGAGGAGGAGGAGGAGGAGGAGGAGGAGGAGGAGGAGGAGGAGGAGGAAGAGGAGGAGGAGGAGGAGGAGGAGCCCCAGAGGGCGACGTTGCTCGCAAAACGCAGCGGGGACGCGGCCAAAGAACTTTTGTGGGCAGCGCGCCGCGGCGGCGGCTCCGGCGACGCGCCGCGCCCTGCCAGCGGGCAGCGCGTCGCTCCACTCCGCGGGGCGCGGGGCGGGGCAAAGCTCGGGGCGCTGACGCCTCGAGACTGCCCAGATGGTCTGGTACCGGAAATTTTCGGTAGCGATTTCGACGCACCCCGAATTTCGGTAGCGACCGAATCTTCGTTTGAGGGCGTTGAAATAGCGGATTTCAGAACGGTCTGATACCGGTATTGGGCGCTACATTTCGGTATTTCGGTAGCGACCGATCTCTGCGGAGCGCTACCGGAAATTTTCGGTAGCGGATTATCAGGGTGCGGGATGGCTCGCGCGTCGCGCGGAAGCGCGGTGGACCAGAGCCGGCGGAGCGAGACGCCATCCAGGAATTCGCGACCGCAGGGCCCCGGTGGTGATTTTTTGTCGTGGGCACGGATGGATCTCACGAGGCGATGGGTGCTGGCGGCGCGCACAAAGGGGGTGGAGGGAGGGGGGAGGGCTTCTTAGAAGGAGGCTGCGTCTCAGAAGGCGCCGGCCTTACATCAAAAGAGAAGGCCCGCGGCTTCTAAGAGGCAGGGGTGCTTCTAAGAAGCCCTCCCCCCCCTCCCCCGCCCCCCTCTGCGAGTGGCTGAAAGTGTGGTGGGGGGGGAGAAAGGTGCCCTTTTCGGGCCCTGAAGGCCCCCTTCTGGGCCTTCACGGGCCCCTTCCTGGGCCCACCCCTTTTCCTGTCTTGCACCGCTCGCTACCTCCCCCCCCTCTGGCCACCGCTCGGGCGCCGATTCCCCGTGTTTCTTTTTCGGTTTCGCGCGTAAGTATTGAGCCAAGTGGTCCAGGATGCTCCTCGATGCCCCTCGCCGAAAGAACAAACGCACACGTCCGAGCGATCGCCCCCGCCATGAGCTCGCGCCCACATGCTGCCTCTTTCCGCGGCGCCGGACCTCGG